TTGCCTTGTATGCAAATTGTAGAGGATCAGAAAAATTGACGGAGGAGGACTTAAGGGAATCTAATGCAACTCGTTCAGTAAGTTTCAGGAGTGCAGAAGAGCAGGCAATAGGACGGAAAGATTTAGGAGCAAAAGTTAAAGATTTTTTAGGGATTGGAGTAATTCTTACTGTACGCCAGGCGTCAGGAATCTTGGACTCTATGAAGGATAGATTAATAAGGTGGGTCAAGACGGGAGCTATCTGCGAACAGCAAGACTTAAGGAGAAAAGGAGAAACACCGTCCGGCCCAGCCGCCGTTGACCCGCGAATCTTTTTGAGATGGTGTTCCACTGTTGTCACAGTCACAGGAGTGAAGTCACATGGTGGTAGGTAAATTTCGTTTGGCCGAGAAGTGGAGTCATTAGAAGTACAGATAAAAAGTCCTGCGGAAAAGTCCTGAATGTTCGACCAGCTATTGATTGAACTGCACTTGTGAGCAAGGCCGCCACGCGTGCTCGGCGCTGCTGTATACGCCGGTCAGCCATCTAACTTCACCTGTATATCATGCCGCTGGCTTGGTCCTCCGTTCAGCGCCTGGTCGAGTCTTCCTTTTGCCCCGGACTGTGACTTCACACTTGTGCTCACCGTAATATCTCCCGCTTTTGGAAGTTGGCCCTCGTACCTCTTCTTCTTAGGGTCCATGATCTGTTTCCTTAGCGGCTACGTTGTTCTGTTGCTTCTTGAAACAGCAGGTGATGTCGGCTGATCGTCTTCCTTAGGAGGCGTTACCTCAAAGATATCACACAGCAGGTCGAGTGCAATTTGACCGTCTGTGGCGAATCTAGTCCCGAGCTAGTTAGCAACCCTCCTGCTGCTTCTAGCTGGTGTCTCCACCTCGAACACATCGCCTCTATATCTCCTTATACTCTCTACCCTGGGCTTCTCTCTGGTGGCTTTGTAGTCGTCGGCAGACACCGCTTCCCCCTTCCAAAAATAGTGTTTTGTCTGGTTATTTGTACTGCGGTTGTATGTCCGGCTATCGGCCCCGAAACCGCCCGACTGGTGTCTGGCCCCCAAGATCGCATCTTGAAGTTCTTCTACAGACAATCCAGTTTAACACCGGTCTTCCATTTCCTTTTCATTGCTCTCTTAAAATGTCGACGAAATGTCCTGCCTGGCCATATGATTTTGAATGAAAAAGTGTTTACGTCACATGTCGGATCGTCAATTTCTCTCACAGTTTTTGGAAAAGTGATGAAGTGAGCTGAGTGGCGTTATCTGTCACGATCTCCGTGGGGGTGCCGTTTATAGTGATATCGGCAGTAGCTGCCGCGACATCGAAAACTTTCAACCACTTCGACCACGCGTCGACAACTATGAGAAACATTCGATTGAAGAACGGTCCAGAGAATACCGTATGAACTCTTCACAGTCTCATCACCTCCGTCCATGCCATTCACGGTACTTTCGGTGGGTTCTGGGTCTCAAGTCCACACGGGTCGCAGCTTTGGACGAAAGATCCCACGTCGGTTTAAATTACTGGCCAGTCAACGTACCTTCGGGTCAACTGTTTTATGCGGGTCATATCCTTATGTCCAGCATGGCGCTCCCGCATCTATGGAAGTAGCCCTCAAGGTGTACAAGCGGTGTGTGCGCAAGGAAGTTGCGAGCTGGTACGTTACTTGTATCTGTTGTTCTTTCATCTGTCCTTCGACGAGCTCAGGTACGTTTCTCACCTATGGGAGAATTCGTCATGTAAATATTTTTCGGTGCTCGTGTGGTCGACACAGATAAGGGAGACTGAAACACTTATTTCTGGTTTACCAGCCATCACCAGCAACGGACTTGGGGTACCTGAAGCTTGATCCGGCACTCCCTTGGTTGCACGTCTAATACCCTACTAGCTGAGCCAGGTTCTCGTTGTCCTGTCGGTTGAAATCTGGCATATTAACCGAGTACGCTGCGGGACGCGTTAGTACCGGTGTGCTCTGTAGATCGATCTACAGTCTGCGAACGGTCGCACCACGATTGTTAATATGTGCAGAAGGAGATTTGCCACAAAGGCAAGAGGGACTGGGATACCCATTTCTGGCTTATAAGCCATCAGCAACCAGCCTCCCCCGACTCCCTGTATTTGGCGGCACCTGTCGTTCTATCCTGAGTACCTTGGTGTTTTTAAGCAATAAATGAATATATCAACCTTACCCTTGAAGATATATAGAAATAATTAGGCTTATATTTCATGGATTTCAGATCCATCTCTATAAATGCTTTCAAAAATACATCTATTTTCCCATAATTTTAGACTAGAGAGTAGATTTGTCGTCGCGGGGGACTAAGTCCATCGCGTGCTCCATGAATTAAGCGCTGGATAGGGGCTTTCGAGTGGGACAGACTTGCGATGCACCTACCTCGCTCTCTCCTCTCCCACCCATCTGCCTCCGATGGCAGGACAATATGAAGGTTGCTGGGATGGGTGCAGGCGTGCTGACTGAAAAACCTAACCAGGGTGTCTACAAGTGTAGCACAACGACTTGCTCCACCAGAATTGCCGGGCGCTTATGAGAGCAGTTCGGATGTCACATGGATGAGTGGGCTACAAAGGTCACGCTAAGAGGGGGTCGTGGCAGCTTGACTTTTAGTCCCCAGAATGACTAAGTTTCCTCGTCACTTAAAAATTTCCCAAACCATAACTAATAGCTTATTGTGATAGTTTCAAGCGCGTCAGTTTTGTTAAAGTGAGGAATGCGTCGACGTGCCGTGGGGCAAGTCTCGACCTCACTCTCTCTTCCCTCTTCCATGCATTAGTCGGCTGTCTGGACCTCTGATGATGAGATTGCGTTCAGTTTGAAGGACTAGGCCTAAGGTGTGCCAATACGCCCCGGTCAACGTGCGCTCGCAGTTAGAGGTTCGTTCGGATTCTGCACAGCCCGATTAGCTCGCGCCGTGAGCCGTTCCGGTGTTATATTAGTTCAACACGACTGCATCACAGATTGTTGTGGAAGCTAAGTTGCGGACAGAAATGTGATGGCGGGTGCTCTTTTGGCATGATACTGGAAATATTCTTGTTGCTAACTCGTTTTTTTTGAGGTGAGCGTTCTCCTTCGATGCGGCCTCCTACTCCAGTTTCGAAGTTCCCTGGTTTGTGGTTCTGTCATCGTCGTCGTATGGAAGTGCGTCAGCCCACACAAGTCGCCGCATTTACGTTTTCTCAAGTTCCTCCTGTTGGCATGAGTGACTCAACCACGTGTGACTCATAGGCTCTACCGTCTTACAATATCCGTTTTTCTTCTAGTTCTGCTTCACTGGCTTAGATGTGGAAGTCCACCTTTGTTTTACATCAAGCAAGACTGGTCTACATCCGGACTCTACCGTTTGTGTTGTTAATTGGTTTCGGCCAATCACAGGCCTTTTTTGACATGTGCATATATAAAATTGTTATCAGTGCACTTATATTCTCTTAATGAAACGGATATTGACAATACTCCAACACGGGCTTGGTTTCAAGACGGCCAACAGAACAACCGACCTAGACACTGACGTTCTGTTGGCAGATGCCGAGATACCGCAGAGTACCAATCGATTGTCCTCTAACTGTCAACACGCGTCAAGCTTGTGAGAAGTAACCAACAAGGCCGGGATAGGGAGAACGGCCATATCCGGCTTATTTGCTGTCAACTGGCAGCCATGCCGTGTGGTGATAGAAGCGAACAGGCGAGTTCCAGGTAGCAGTTCAGAAGACGAAGATGCGATAACTGCAACAAGAAGTTTATTGGCCTGACGTTTCGGACTCTCACTCAAATCTATCAGAGACAGTCTCAGATAATGGTAGTGGTGGCACAATGAGAGCAGTATTAATAGCGGGTGGCTGCCGTGGGACTGTATGCGCACTGTAACTAACAGCTCTCGCAATCATCGTTGGGGTCGTCATTGATGCGTGTTAGTCCGTGTCCGAGTCGGTAGTGGCCGCGTTTTCGTCATCTGTGTTGAATGCTGGGTTGTTGGATTGCGAGAGCTGTTAATTACAGTACGCATATGGTCCCACGGCGGTTAAGCGTTATAGATACTGAACTCCTTGTGCCACCACTAACCCTATCTGCGACTGCCTCTGATGATGGGTTCGAGTTAGAATCCGAAAGGTCAGGCCAATAAATTTCTTGTCCCAGTTATCACATCTTCGTCTTCTGAATCATGCCCTGTCTCAAGACCTATCATTTAAAACCCGGTTCGCTGGATGTTGAGCGCTAGACCCGCACCCCCATGGTCGCTCAGCAGCAACCGGGGTCACCCGATGTCATGCAGGATTGACGTTTACCAAACTATCTTGATGGAGAATGGGGAGTAAGGCGATTGCGTTTTGTCTTGGGATGCCGGGCTGTTAGAGACTGACATTGAGTCTGACTGGCTGGGTGACGTTGCAGATACCTGAAATTACTATTCCATCCCAGTTTCTTGGTTTTTGACTATAACTTACCATAAGACTATCTGAAGAGTTTCTAGGCTGCGCCTTCGGATGCAACGGCATCGCTTTTTCGTTCGGACGGTTAGGATGGACCAGAGAACGGCATTCCCTCAGACACTGCAGAATTACTCGCCGGTAAAATGCCCTAATGGTAAGACACATCGACTCAACCACTAGACCGAATCGTGGGGCATGACCTCGGCCTTCTGGGTGTAAAATCTAAGAAGTTCGTGTGACGGTGAAGCGTCTATCATCATTCAATGAGTATGTCACCATAGATTGTCTAACAAACGCCTAGCCTAGAAGCAGATTTAAGATTTTGCGGTGAAGCCTTTACTAAATAGAAACTGTTTTCCCCACTGAGCAGTTTTCAGCCTAGGAGACAGGCTGGGAAAAACGAAACACCTTTGTAGGAGCCAATCACTGAGGGATTGGAAAGAGGTCCGTTCGACCCCAGGGGTTCTCGCCTGGAGAACAAAGGAGTTACAACAATTTCTTTTTAAAAAAGTCGGCCCGACTGGCCATAACGGCTACACAAACTTGACAAGTTAAAAATGGTTAACAGGCTGAGACTTGGTATATAACAGAGTGCGAACTTATGAAGTGGATAAGCGCGTTGCTATTCAAAGTAACCGCCAAAATGTTGAAGTTTGTAGTTCTGAGATATGTGTTGCCTATAGGAGCGATAAAAAGGGATTTTTAAGCGTTTATGAGTCGATAATAAAAGGTGAAACTGCTGTGGTTTTATTTCCCTGAGAAATAAACTGCAAACTTGGGGTGGATCAGTTTACATTAGGGTCTACAAGCGCAAACCAACATTTTCTGTATGGGTACTTGGGCCGATGTGCATCAGGCACAGCGGAATAACGGTGGAATATTCATCATCTGCCGACAGGCAACTAGTAGTATATATTGGGTTGCAGGATATCATATTAACGGCACAGATACTAGCTGAAGTTGAGGGATTTAGCACCTACTAACGTATGCATGATGGAACGACCCCCCGAATTTCAATGAGTATGCTGACGATCCAACAACGAGACTTCAAAAGTTTATGCATGTTTGGAAAATGTTTGGAATCTCATCAACACAGATCCTTCCCGTAATTAGTCAAACATTTCTCTCACAGATTCCACGTTCGATTAAACTTCATGCGATTAAAAAAATCAAGTAGTACTGACGGTCTCTAGTGGCCGATAATGTCGAGCGAGTAAATGAAGCACTAGGAATTGATCCTAGATAAGACCGAGCTGGAGAGGGAGAGAGTTGTTAAACGCGTCACAACACTCATACAGACAAAAGAGTTGAAGAATAATTCGATGACCATAAATATATCACAAGAACGGATTGAAACTGAATTGACTTATATGCGACATCTTTGCCTTTTCGAAGCAAACATTTCCGACCTTAGAAACCAATGCGTCTAATGTCTACCTATAAACATCTTTGAGGAGGTAGTGCATCGAATAAACGCCAACAACGCCAGAATGAAGAAACGGGCCCATCCGCGCGATAAACTACAGACGTTTCTTGGCTCAGCCGGCGAGAACGGGATGTCAACGAGGGTCGTTAGCCTTTCCAAAGGGAATCTAACGTCCGCTGAAATAAGCCTCCTGTCCAAGGAATCAGACTAAGTCGCACCGATGCTGCACCTACAAACTTCCTAACCAATATTGAACCCCTCCTACTGACCACAGTTCGTGAAGACATGCCTGCGGACATCCGCAGTTGCTCCACTGGTCTCCTTCAACAAATAAACATTATCAAACCTTTCTTATCAAAGAGAAAAAGGCGTTGAGATCGCTGAAGACAGAGGGAAAATAGTTATTATGTCTGTTGACGAAGGGGGAAGCAACCTTCATCATGGAAAAGGCTGCCTACGTCAGTAAGGTAAACCAAATCTTCAGTGACAGGGGAAGCCTATCCATCATTTGCTGTAGATCCAACGAAAAAACAGGCTGCGGCTGCAAAGAAGAAAGTGAATGAATTTGCCCTATTGAAGCATATAAGCACCGACGACTGCAGATTTATGGGCCTCAGTGACCCCCGTATCGCAGATGAGAACGGTTTTCCAGAGTTGGATAAAGCGGATGCGCCACTGAGGACCATAGAGCCATTCACTGGATCTCCCTTCTGACAACCTTGCGAGCTGGTTATTCCATCACCCAAAGCTCCTCACTAATGGATTCCAATAGACATCGAAAACTCTCCGGCTTTCCTACAGAAGATCGGAGGCCTTGAAGTAAGTCCTGACGAATGCACCCTATCGTTCGAAGCTGTTGCCATGGTTTCCCCAATACTCCATGACACGGCGATTTAGAACGTAGCTCGATGTCCATAGGAAAATCCCATGGGCATTCTAACATAGCACGTTTAACATGACTGAGCTTTTGCTCATGAATTAATTTTAATTCGATGACAGGTACCACCGACAGAGAAAGGGCATCCCAATCGACTAGCCAATATCGGGGCTGCTTGCAGAACTAGTAGTACAGCGACTAGAAGAGGATGTTGTGCAAACAAGCAAACCAAAAACGCGGCCCCGCTACGTAGATGACACATTCGTCATCAAAAGGACCTGCTAAGATGAGCAATTGCACTAGAGCTTGAATGGCGTCTTTCTGGCTGTATAATTAACTCGCGATGTGAAACTACAAAGATTAAGTGATGGAAAATAAAAAAAATCGTCCCCTGAAAAAAATCAAGTGTCAAAATTATCCCTACCTATGGGATCAATCGTCCTTCTACACAGAAAAAAAACTGTGTCCGCACTCTTTTTCATCGGGCCATTCTTATCTGCAGCAGTGATGACTTATTAATGAAAGAACTGGCCAACTTGCATCGGTTATTCTGGTCCAACAGATATTCAGCCAGCTTTATAAAAAATGTCGAAGACGCCAGAGACAACCATCAAGCCTCGATTCTAGTGGAGATAAAGCGTCGCGGAAATTTTATTCACTGCTGTACATTTAAGGAATATTTGAAAAAATCTCCCAACAATTCAGTCGCTTTGGCATCTCCGTTGCTCTCAAACCCGCATCGTCCCTACGCGCAACATCATGTCGAGTAAAGAATCCGGTGTCCAAAGGACACCTTAGTAATTCAATCTAAAAATATTATAATTTGCTGGAAAGGGTTCAGATGGGGGTGACTTAAGTGGTGAACTGCCTACAGTCCCCTTGATGCAAGTGCAGACCTGATGCGCTTAACATACTCCCCTTTAAGTGTAGGCAGATTCAAGGAGGTCTTGCACAGGCCTGCTGGATTGTAAGGTGTCGGCACTGTGCCCTGCACTTCGATGATTTATTTGCGCTGACCAAAACAAATAACCTGCCTTCCATCCACAGCAAGTGGGATCGCAAACCTACTTGAGAAGTTTATATACCTCGGTGGGGACAAGCCACTGACACAATTGTGAGGAGCCGTTAGCGCCGCAAATAGGAGGATATTTGAGTGATTTTCTCCGAGGGAAACTTGGAGGCCTCAAATAACAAAAATCGGACGACAGCTAGTTCTTGCATAGACGCGAGCGCCTGTAAGACCAAATGATTGGTGGTTAGCACCTCGAAGGCCACAGGAATGGCTAGTGGAATATTATTCCCTTGCATAAAACATTACTCACCTGTCTGCATCTGGAGTGTTAGTACTTTAGCAAGCGTTCTGTGTATTGCATGTGGCGCGTGTCCTATGGCGCAACATTCGTTACCGCCAGCAGCCTAGCTGGCTGATGGACAGAATGGGATTCAGTAAGATTTCAACCACAGCAAGTGAATCTGACACACCTACTTGGCAAACTAATTTTTATTTGAAGTTAAATATGACCCAAGGTACAAAATCCCGCGTGTTTAATTTCCTTTCGGGATGCTTCGGTGGCACACATACAGCCATGCGTAATTGGTAGAATGCAGCACAGGTCGTTACGCGGAAATGTCTAGGTCAATGCCACCAACAGATGACCTCCGTTTTGCTCTATTGCGAGAGTAAATCCGTTCGTTGTACGGCAACACCGCAACGCCTGCAGAGGAAAAGTAAATGGCCTACTCTTGAATCGTACGTACTGGTGATGCCAAAGAAATAAAGTTGGCCTGCAAACTTCTCAGACTTTATTGCGAGTTCCTAGGCCATTTCATGCCGGGTTCCATTTGAGTTTTAATAGCTGTAATGCTAACTTCTGCAAACAGACCTCCATCTCTTAATAAGCAGCTAGGTTACACCTCATCCATATCTGGAACATCTTTCCATCCGCACCTAAGAAGGACCTGTATAAAGACACAGTCATTTGGACGAAATCTGGCTGTACACCCTCGAATTCCTTATTTTTTACAACCAACAATCGGATAGCATACCTGGCAAAGCAGAACATCAAACAAGTACAGGTAGGGGAAGTATTTCAAGCGTCAACAGTAGTTATTTCGAGTACAATTATATTGCAGAAAAAGTAGCACGATATCCGTTTTCTTCAAATGCTAAGGCGGGTGTGAACATGAACATACAAGTTCGAACAGACAACATAATATTTCATATGGAAGTGCTACTGAAACAGGTAAAGCAGTATTGGAAGAGCAGTAAGTTTTATATAAGCCGTCAGGTTGACGACGACTGGCAGTATTGTGTGTAATTCCACACAGAATTCCATACAGGATTCTGGTTTTAATTAGAGTACGGATTGCGGTCTAGGTTTACGTAACGACAAGGTTGGGGCTAGGGTCGGTGATATGAGTAGGCTAGGGTTACGGCTAATGTTATTTGTTTTGACTAAAATCCAAATCGTGGACCACAGCATCATAAACTAAAATAATTGCATATCTTCTTGCAATGCGAATATTTTCATTTCCTATGTTGTTAGATTCCATAAGTAGACAGACCGCGCTAATGGACAACGAACATTGTATGATCAGTCATTGGCATACTGAAAGTGTTACATGTTGGTATTATTGTAAATTATTAAGTTCTGAGGTTTAGCAAGGAATTGTGCCGAGTTTGCAAAAAAATCGTCCCGGAAAACGAACTATAGACAAGGTAATAATTTAAAATATACACAAGGTCGCTTATTGATTTCCATGAACTGACGCGACCTTCAAAAGCTGCGGACAACGTGGGATCGAGAAGAAGGGTACCGACGAGATGTGGTTCTATCATCTAGAGAGGAAATTGTGACTAATGTATAAAAGTAGCGATATGTCCGGCTGTTCGATTTGACCTTTAGATGCGTTTATAAACATGAAAGTGAATAACAAATTGAAGTCACTGTTGCGTATAGGCCGACTAGTCTGGCTTGATGTATCTGTGCCTTTATGCATAGAAAACAGACAATAAGCGACAAAAATACCTGTTGCTCAAGCAGGAGGACACAATAAATTTAGATTGCTTAGACCGATTTGTGCCCATGCTAAGTGCCTTAACCAAAAGCTGCACACTGGTGGTTCACTGCCCACTTTTTTTACAGGAACCAGATTCTACCACTGAGAATGGAACTTTTTGTGATATGGTCATAGAGGTGCACGGTTAAGTAAGAAGACGCAATTAATTTTCCCATCTCTTTGTGGCCGACATGAGTGACAGTGGATTGAAGTTGAGATGAAAAAAATTCTCGGGGAAATCAAGCCCTAAAAAGCATTAATTTAGAATAAAAATAAAGTGACTGATTATTATCGTGAACCATCAGGGCGAGGAGAAGAGTACTGATGAGGCGTGGTGCTATCATCTGCAAGTGGAATTGTGTCAGATGTATAAAAGTAACGGATGTCTGGCCGTTAGATCTGACCTCCGGATACCTATATATATAAGTAGAAAACAGATTGGAATCACACGGAGAAATAAGATAATTGATCAAACTGGCGCGTAAGGGAAGGGCTAAGTAGTCTGTTTTGATGAGTCCGCGATTAAGAGCATAGAATATCGACAACGTGCGAAAAAATATTTGTTGCTATAATAGAGGGCTCAATAAACTCGGAGTGTCGTGTATGACAAAACTTATGAGTCGTAACCCATTTCACCCCCTTTTTTCCCACTGCTCCATAATCATAACGCGTCGTTCTCATCATGCTGGTGTCGTGGGAATTATAAGTGTCTGGAGCCACTGATTTAATTAAATGCCCTGCGAACTTCTCGTATTTTCAATTTTTATGTTACTATATTGGCCTGCTAATGAGTACCAAAACCTCGTGCATGCCAAATTGCCTACTTCCCGGCTGATGACAGCTAACTGGTCAGAAATGGCCACTTCAGTCTTCGCTGTCTTTGTCTTCGTGTTCTAATTCACGAAACATGATGAAAGAATCTGGTGTTAGGATTTTCCGACATTTAGACGATGCGTATTTTTTTCGTCAGTTCATTTCGTTTAAGTAAGAGTTTTCTTATTTAAAAATATGTTACGCTTGAAAAGTAAAGTTGGAAAACACGTGTTTTCGGTAATTCTTCGTCAGGCCAACAGAGTTACATGAAGGAATAAAAATGTTCAAAATTAACAGTGTTTATAGGTGTCTTAAGAGCTGCTTATTCATTAACACTCATTTTTCCCACGTAACCCGCATGACGATGTCGATGGGTTTTGGTCCTCAGAGCTAGGGCAGGGGGGTAAGAGAGTATACGAGCAATGTTCTTGGATTGAGTACACGTAGTACCCATCATTGCGATTAGGAATATGGGGCGGCACGTCGTCATCACTTGAAGTTGGCGTTGGCCATGGCAGAGAGAGCGCTTGTGTCAGGGTTTTCTGACAGCATAACACTGGATTCACTAGCCATATATCCACTGCTTCAGCCTCGGCTAGTATCCGTTGGCATAGGCCTTTAAAACAGCTTGTTGGTGTTCGATAGACAACATGAAATGCTTCGTTGCCATCGACTCAGTGATCTGCATCGATTAAATGTGCGAGAATAGAACTCGAAATCGATCGGATCTCACTTCTGTCTAACCACGAGGGCGTAAGTTCACGCATGCTTTTTACCAGGCGTCTCGCTGTAGGCCAATGTATCTCGATGAATAAGTAGATGCACATTCGAGTTCTATTCTCTTCAAATTTAACCAAAAAGACCATTTCCATGAAAGAGAACGTCCAGACTCTCGTTACTTCGGCAAATGCTGTTCAGGTACTATGTTATTCTGAAGGTTTTAATAAGTAACTTGTGAAAAATCTGTTTTTACGGACAATCGAATACAAACAATGAAAATCATGTAGTGTTTAGCCATTTTTCAAGGCCGATCTAAAACTCGACGCAATCCGGAACACAGGAAAAGTGCAAATTTATTTGAAGGAGCAAAGCATTTTTATACACCATAAATGGCATATTTTCGATTAAGCCTGAAACATTTGCCTAGACGTATTTGTCGACGACCGGCCTAGCAATATGTGGCCTCGTGAAAACTTTTATTCCTATGACGTTTTTCTTGGTGAAATCAGGTAAAATCCTCTTAACCTTATTGGGCCGCATGACAGTCAATAAAAAAGAGTAGAAAACACAACAAATTCTAGGGAAACTGTTTACGAATCTATACTCAGAATGTAGGCAGTCGGTTAACCGCCATACCTGACATTACACTAATTCTTAAAAGGTATTTAGATCAAAACGTTATTAAAAGTCCATTGTTGAACATTATTCTGTTCATGCTGCCATGCTTACTTAGTTTTTGCATGGGCACGCTTTCTTTACATCCGAAACCCAAATGTACTGAATAATAACCATTACTGACATTCAGAAAACGATTTGGCGAACATAAGTTGTTTTTTTATAAATCCTCATTAAGCCAATGCAAATAGGTGGGTGCGGGATACAGTTAAAAGTATTAGTTAAGCTATTTGTAAAACATGTGCAGGGCAAGAGCGGAAAGGCATATCTACAAAAAATGCATTTCTAAACAACGTTATGCCACCTTTAATTTTTCGCCATTTATACTATTCCGTTAGTGTTGTTATTTATGAAAACAGATGTTAGGTCCATGCATTAGTGTCGGTTTGCGAGTGATTAATAATCATTCTTAAATGTTGACACGTTTGATCTGCTAGGTTGCGTGCTGTTTGCATAGCTCAGGTTTTTTGTGAGGATATTACCTGTTATTTGTAGGAGGCGCAAGAGAGTGTGATCATTTGTTTGATCGGAATTTGTCCACAAGTTACAATGGATATCCTCGCTACTTGCTGTGATACTGCATTGCAACAGATGTGACGGAATAGAATTCCATAAGGTGTTTTTGCCGTGAACCCAAATTTTAATGATGCGAAATGATAGATTGAAGGGTCAAACTGAAAGGCGGCCGACCACATGCGCTGCTGAGGACCGCTCACAGAAAAGTGCCCGACAGACGAGTTTAACCACTTAAGAACTGACAAACATTTACTAAGTTTCTGCAGCCTACGAATGCGTCTTTGCCAACTTTGGAAATGAGCACGTGCTGAGGAGTTCTCGTGCACTGTCTGAAACCGATGCTTTTGCTGTACGTGATAAAAATGTTGTTGACGATTAATGAAAAAAATAGTTGTCTCCCACCGCTGTGGGAACTAGTGGAGAAAACAGAGTGCAAAACATTTGCAGAGGCCACGAGCTCATTACCAAGAACGGTATTAAACTACTTTAGAAGAGGACGACTGATCCAGCTGGCGATAGGATAATCGTGCACGATGCAGCACTAGAGAAACAGATCCGCCAGTATTCCGAAAAAACGTCATATAGAAAAGAGGTTCTGTCTCAAAACGTACATCACATTCGACAGAGCGGGTGAGATGCGCCACAATGACAGATATTTGAACCCACAATAGAGACTGACCATCGACGGTTGGAGTCATTGCTCTACAAAGATAACAGACTAAAATTCTGAGGTCGGGATGTAGATGATTATCTCGATCTCATCTACTAGCCCGCAGACAAAAATTACGGCCGAGGAAGAAGGAAGAAACCAATTAGCATATTTGTCCGTAGCAAAGTCTGAAATACTCCGCAGATCAGATAGTGCAATGCAAACACCCAATCAGCCCGTATTGTAAGTGCGAAGGAATCAAAGTAAGCGGTGTTGTGGGCTGTGATTAAAACAAATATTGAAGGTATTCAGATTATTTATGCAATTCCTGCATATCTGCAATTTGCTGTACAAAAAATCAAGCCCACTGCAAGGTCCACTGCAGGTGATCAGAGTATTTTGAGCAGATGCAACTCCACAGCAAGAAAAAGGCAAACAAAATTCACAAGGTCTTTCCCGCTTACCAGAAGCGGCGGAAGAAGTGACTCATCAGGTTGTAAGAATTCTCGAAACGTTTGCCCATAAACAAACAACACTAAAAATCCATGCCATAGCACAAACGCTAAATGTCCCACGAAAATAAAAAAATATGTGTAATTAGCATACCTCCATTGGCACCCTCCAAGTAGTAGATAGCAACGACTTCTGTTTCATGTAAGCTACAGTACAAAATAACGTCAGACTTAACCAGGAATTATGGAATGCCAGCAGTTATCCAATCTCTTAGAGGACTGCAGGTAGTCTGTGTCTGACGCATTGTGAATAACTTTCCACAATTTCACGTCGTCGGCAAACAGGATGACATCACAGTCTAGGTCCTCGACGCAGTCATTTATGAAAACGAGGAAAAACGTGGGACCTAAGACTGAGCCCTGTGGGATGCCACTCACCACGCTTACATCTGAGGACTGCTGACGCCCGACCTGCAATATTTGGAACCGTCCAGCCAAAAGGCTGTGGATCCATACAAGACGGCGTCCACGAATTCCAGCGTTGTGCAGTTTGTACAAGAAACATTGGTGAGGAACGCTGTCGAAAGCCTTTTTGAGGTCGATGTAGATGGCGTGCACCACATTGCCTTCATCGCGTGCTTTGGTCCAGCGTTCGAGCGTGAAGAGGAGATTTGTGAGGCAGGACCTACCACTTCGATAGCCGTGTTGGGCATCGGAGAGGAGGTGGTGCTGCTCGAGGAACTCCATCAAGGCCTTCTTAATGATCTTCTCCATGATTTTACAACAGATGGAGGTAAGACTCACTGGCCTGTAGTTATTTGCAGACGCACAACTTCCACCCTTAAAAAGCGGAGTGATGGTAGCGGACTTGCAGTCAGAGGGCAGGCATCCAGTAACAAATGACATTTGGAAGATCAAGGTTTACAGCTTGGACATTTCGAGAGCCAGTTCCTTCAGCAGCTTGGCCGGAATTACATCAGGGCCTGAGGATGTTAATTCTTTTAGGTTTAGTAATTCATTCCGAACAATTGTTTCGGTGACGAAGACGGCTTCGAGGGTAGGCGTTTCTTCTTCTTCATAAGTAAGTGAGAAACAATTAGGTTCACTTTTCACGACTGACTGGAAGAAGTGAGAGAGATGTTCAGCCTTATCCTTGTCATCGGATATTTCTATTCCCTCGGCCGTTCGCAGCAGTGGGACGGGATCTTTGTTCCGTGTGCGCTGTCTTATGCAGCTGTAAAGGATTTTGGGATCAATCGTGGTACGGTTCAAAAGATTCTTTTCAAAGGCTCTCCGATCTCTGACGATGAGAATTTTGACCCGATTTCTCTGTAAATTATAAATGCTTAGGAATTATGGCGTCCGGTCCGTCAGATATCTTTTCCTTAGCTTCCTCTTCTTGTTAACTTTCTTCTTTAAGGACGAAGTCAACCAGTGAGATCTATTTGTTAGTCTTATGCGCATGATTGGGCAGTGGTTGGAGATGAGGTTGTGGACTAACTCTTTGAACTGACACCAAGCCTCTTTGACATCGCCGGAGAGAGTGAATGCCTGGTCGATAGGACAAGATCCTTTTTCATCTGCTCGAAATCGCCGCGCCAAATAATCGGTCGGGAATCGAGTGGTTGTGCAGGTAGGGAGAATAAGGTGTATTCCCACATGAGAACTACGAGGAGAACGGGGGGAGGCAATTCACAACGTCGATGTTGTCAGACGACTTGGGGAACACAAGATCGAGGCAGTTCATTTGTTGGTCCCCTCGAACTCTCGTTGGAAACATTACGTGCTGGGTGAGAAGCAGGTTGTCGGAGGTACGCAGTAGCTGCTGGTCAAATGCTGCTTCAGAGCAGTCGGCTGAGGCCGAGCTCCAGTTTATGTGAGGTGCATTAAAATCTCCACGATGAGAGAAGTCGGCCGCGTTGAAAATAATCTGAGCTCGTCCAGCAGTTGAGCATCAGCGTCAGGGTCATTTCTCGGGGGGTGATATACTGTCAAGATATCGAGATTTTGATAGCCCGGTGTCCTTATGTTCAGCCATAATGCTTCGGTATTACAAGTCAGTTGGGCAGTTTTTTCTGAAACGTGTAAGCCATTCTTAACAAATATTACTATGCCTTCCATCCCTTCTGTTTTCTCTGTCTCGGCGGAACAGTGGAAATCCAGGGAGCATGAGCTCTCTATCATCAACCTGTTCGGACAACCATGTTTCTGTTATTGAGATAACGTCTGGATGGAGGTCGTAGGTATGGATACGGAGTTCGTCCACTTTTGAAAGTAATCTTTGCGCGTTGGTATACATGAATATGAGTTTCGAATTCATGCGAGATTTGTTTTCAACCCCGACACGGGCCACTGGGGTAGCTTTGCGGTCATTCGGATCGGCTTGACCCAGAGGGGAGCGGAATGTCGTTTGACAATCCGGTCTTTGTAGATTGTCAAATTTTTCTCCGTTTGTTTTCCGTGTTCTGAATTCTAGGACAAGTTCGCGGCGTTTCATTCTCTTGGCAGGCGAGTAGTCCGGCTGAAATAACACTCCTTTATGGGAATGCTTCAATCGAAAACGCCTGGAAAGGATTAATTTCGCCTGCTCATCGCTACGTAGGACGATTTTTAGGGGTCGTGGTCGCGTGTGCGGAACGGCATTTGTATGGCTACCAAGACGAAACGCCTTTAGGATTGTGACATCTTCTATTGGTTGCCGCATTTCATTTAGAAATTTTGTGGAATTGCTCTAAGTCAGCAGCGACTCGTGCCCTGGGGGAACTGGCGGAGGACTCTGGGAGGCTCTGAATTATGATGCAGTGGTCCTTGTTAAGCATTCCTCTGTTTTCTGCGATTTGGACGTCGTTGGCTGGCCCTATGGTCTCGTCGAAGTGGACTGGAGAAGAGGAGGGGGCTGCCATATTGGTATTTATGTCCCCGTGAAGTTCGTCCGCGGATTCTGTTGAGGCATCTCGTCTTCTACGGTCGGTACGTGGACGATATCTTCTGTCTGGCGGATGGTACCACCGATATCGAGGACCTTGTCCAAAAGTTCAACAGTGCGCACCCCTCGCTAAAGTTCACTGCTGAGTCTGAGGCAGATAACGAAA